TATTCGTTACGAAAAGTTCTTTAATCAATTATTTTTAATCGATATTTGAGATTTAACATTTTGTTCGTTTATAAAAGAGTCTTTTTTTTTTCAAACATATAATGTTTTCGGTTTCTCTCGGAAATGTCTTGCGCAAATGTATCTTTCTAGAAAATTGTATTAGACACACACAGAATGTATAACAAAGTAGCATTGCACTTAGAGACTGCTTTCCGCGTTCTTTTATACATTAATCGCAATTGACCGCGAGTGTTAACGGATATTGGTAAAAGTTTTGTGTGCAAACCCGTTGTTACTCCGCAATGTAATTTCGTTAGCCACTTAATTCTACAGAGTACAGGAGGTAGTACAGGAGAAGATGAGGAAGATCTTAGTGGCACTTGTCTTGAAACTAAACACAACACACATCACAATGAGTTCCTTGATCATGAACTCATAGAAGTAAGTGCGTGTGATTTTCACTTTTTAATAAAAAATATTCTGTTACTTATTGTGAACGCGGTTAAAAGTCGATCGTATGCAATAGAGAAATTATGTATGTATGTGTAACTACGCATGTTTCAGGAACGGACAGCAAAAATGTTTACACAAAGGCGAAACAAAAGGTATAAAACACTGAGATATCTTATTACGGTAGTAAATTATATATAGTGCTTTAGTGAAATTTAGTAGTCATTTGTAATAAACTGCTACTGCTTTTTAGGCATTACCGTACTTCCTACAGGTCATGTATAAATAGGCACAGTTGGTAAGTGCTACTGTACGTGACTATGTACAATTAGGCACGACCTGTACGAAGTACGGTAGAGCTAGTAGATTCTTTTAAATACGAGCCTGCGTATTGTAACGAGTACCGTAAGTTTTTTGTACACCTTTTTTATAATGATCTAGAACCAATAAGAATCGTGTAATATCATATTGATCTCATAATCATATCTCATATTACACTAAAGCGTAAATTATTTTGAAATAAATATAAGAAAGATATATAAATATCATTAAACATTAAAGGTCGTGCCTAATATAACATCATAGGCAGTCCGAATTGGAATAACTATGTATATTCACTAATATATCAAAATTACTCATTTAATTTTAGCCATTCCGATTTGGAGGCAGATGACGAGGAATTCGATTCCTTGAATCAGTCTGACAGTGTCAATCAATCAGACCATGGAAATCATGAACCACAATCCTCTGTAAATGCTACGAATCAACCAAGACTGTCTACTCCAACGGGAGATAATCCACACGAAGTATTTTTTTTTTTTTTTTTTTTTTAATTTAACAAATAAAATCAAACAACTTGTACACTTATAACTTTTCGTT